AAATAATAACTTTTCAAAAATAAAAAAATATAAAGGGTGTCCCAATAAGAACGCCGGATTTGAAATGTTAACAAACCATATATTTTCATGCTAAATTTACAATAAGAAACATGAATCTTAAAGCATAGTATCTCCGATTAGTAATTGAGTATTATGTCTTGTAAGTGCCAACCTGCTAAATACTGACAGGCCCGAAATCTCTTGACAAAGTTTTCCATCACTTTTTCACACACTTCCTGTTGAATTCCATTAATGGCACGAATCATTTCCTCCTTCAAGTCTTGGATTGGTTGAGGACTATTGGTGAAAACAAGCGACTTTAAATATCCCCAGAATATAACTGAGCCCATTTATTCGAACTTATAAATCAATCTTCGGACAGATGGATCATTTGGTGAACTGTCATGGCCGTAAATAGCGCGCAGCTTCCGTACTTGTAGTGCACTTTATCTATGACCACGCATTGATCCGTCGTGTAACGATTCATGACTACAAATGGGACCTAATACTGATAATATCGCTGATAATTTGGAAATTCCTATTGAATTACAGATAAGGATAAGACGCTCCTCAAATCCGGCGTTCTTACTGGGACACCCTTTATCTTAAAAAATTGAATAGGTAACTAGAAATTTTAGGGGCCCCAAAAAGCATGGATTTGAAAGATAAAATTTTAAAATGTCAACAAGTAGGCTAGTTTAAATAAAATTTTAAAAACAATAACAATGAATAAACTAAGTTATATGTAGGCCTATAACATAGAAAACTTTAAATAGTCTCTTCCACTTTTAAATCAATTAAACTATAAATAGGCCTACATATATCAGCAAATAGCCAGATAACTTGCGGTAGGCGGTAACATCCTGGTTCTGGGCGAGCAGCACCGGAGGGGAAAACAAGCAGGACGGAGAGGGGGCCATAGCAATGAATACACAAACTATAAAGAAGAACAGGTCCTATGGAAAATATTCTAACAGTATTTTCAAATTTGCCGCGCGAAATATCTGTAGTTCTGCACTGAACCACCACTCAGCGCTGTAGTCAAGTTTAGCACGCGGTAAAGTGCGAGAGAGAGCGACATACACTGTTTTCGTCCCCTGTGGGCCAGGCCACGAGAGAAAGAGAGAGGGCGCGAAAACAGTGTATGTCGCTCTCTCTCGCACTTCACCGCGTGCTAAACTTGACTACAGCGCTGAGTGGTGGTTCAGTGCAGAACTACAGATATTTCGCGCGCCAAATTTGAAAATACTGTTAGAATATTGTCCATAGGATCTGTTCTTCTTTATAGTTTGTGTATTCATTGGCCATAGTTCAAGAGGCAGCCAGGGTGTAGCAAACTTCCTCTCCGCCAAGGTCGAACAGGTCTAGCTCATAATCCTCCTCACGGGCCCCAAAAGGCGCGCTAGACGCATGACACACATGACCAACATGCTGTTTCTTATACAGCATGACCTCGCAGACTAAACCCAAGTTGAAAAACAGAAACAACTTTGCATTTTTAATGTAACAAAAATGCGATGTAAAACGATGAAGAACTGTCTGCGAGGTTAACTTGTTGAGCATCACGCAACCTATGACAATCCCGGCACAGGGGAGAAAACGTGACGCACAGAGTCATTGAGTGAAGCTTGAACAGCAACAAAGCGAACACATACTAACCTACTATACAAAAAACAATATGACCGTTGATTATGAGTCGTGACATTCGCCGGTGGAAAGTAGTCACGGCTCATAAGGTATGTCGAGTAACGACTCACTATTATAATTACTTATGTAGAACACTTATGTAGAAAACTTTCTTGTTCTTATGGGTTTAAATTTTCTTGTATGCTTTTGTATTCATGGTCTGTTTGTATCAAATGCTCTGCAAAGTTAGATTTTATAGTTGTGTGGTTTCCTGCCTTGAATCGTTTTTCAAAATTTCTACTTGTTTGCCCAATGTAGGATTTATCACAATTAGAACATTTGATTTAATAAATACCTGATTTTCTTATATTGTCTTGATTTTGGTTAGATATATTTTCTTTTGAAATTTTGTTATTGATCATTTGAAAAGCATTTTTTGTTGTTTTATAACTGATTATTACATTTGAGCGGTCGAACGTTTTTCTTATGGCTTTATTAATTTTGGTATTGTATGGTATATAAATAAATTCTTTTCTTTTTTTGTCTTCTGTTCCAGAAGTAGTTTGAAGTTTTCTCTTAAATTTCTTCTTGATCATTTTATCTATTTTAGATTGATTGTATCCATTTTTCATTGCCAAATATATAATAGTATTTTTTCTTTATTAAAGTTTTCAGTGGACATAGGAATATTTACAAGTCTGTGTGTTAATGAATGAAATGTTGCCATGGATGATTAGAATGCGAAGGTATGATACTGTTTGTTGTAGTTGGTTTGTGGTAAATTTTAAATCTGTGAATATATTTGTCTTTTGAAATGGTTATATCTAGAAAGTTAATGTGTGTATGTTGTATTTCTTTTGAGAATTTAATTTATGTCAAGATAGAATTTATGTGTTCGTGTAAATTGTTTGCTTCTGTTTGTGTTCCTTCAAAAAGGCAAAGAATATCGTCAACATATCGGTGCCAGTATATAATTTTTGATTTGTAAGGGTTGCTTTCGATTAAAATTTTGGTTTTCTCTAAATTATTCATGTAAATGTCAACTAGAAGTCCAGACAGAGGAGAACCCACAGGTAAACCGTCTTCTTGGATGTAAAATGAAATGGCTGATAATATTGAAAATAATTTTGGTTTAATGTAATCTTGGTTATTTACTAATTATTTACTATTTGTATTTGGGTTGGCGTAAATATTACAATGGAAAAAAGGGACAAAGCCTGAACAATATGATATACTAAAAAGAAAACCGAATTAACTCTGTGCTGCATTTTTTTTAGCAATCATTGAAAGAGCCGATTTGCAAACAAGACATAGGAAATTTTTAGAACACCACCAAGTAGAAAAAATAGAAATAAAATTTTTTTTGCGAATTTCCCTATAGGGAATAAGCTATTACCGTAGGTCTCATGGTAAGACTTAGTCCCGGGACCGATTTACTTTTTAATTTTGATGTCCCTAGAAGCCAAATTCATATATATATATACAGGGTGAATAAAAAGTCAAGACCCCCCCTTTAATATTTTTCCCATTAAATATACAGAGATATCCTTTTGGTGGTTGTGCAATTTTAGCAGGAAGTTTCATTTTATGATTTTGAAATTTTTGAGTGTTCCCCCAAAAGGGGCGATTTGGGGGGTAACTCAAATATTTTAAATGTAAACCCTCTTCAAGTGACACCTCATTTTAAGTGTTTACAAAAACTTAAAGAATGGTGAAAACTAGAGGTCACTATCTCTTCTCTATCCAAAATGGTAGCCCGTCAAATGTTGTAGAAAATCAATGGTAAAATTGGTTTGTAATGGTAATATTGGCTACCATTTTGGATAGAGAAGAGATAGCGACCTCTAGTTTTCACCATTCTTTTAAGTTTTTGTAAATACTTCAAAATGAGGTGTCAATTGAAGAGGGTTTACATTTAAAATATTTGAGTTACCCCCCAAATCCCCCCTTTTGGAGGGACACTCAAAAATTTCAAAATCATAAAATGAAACTTCCTGCTAAGATTGTACGACCACCAAAAGGATATCTCTGTATATTTACTTGGAAAAATATTAGAGGGGGGGTCTTGACTTTTTATTCACCCATCATTATATATATATAATATATATGTGTGTGTGTGTGTGTCCGTTAACTCGAGCAAAAATGATCCGATTTCGATGAAATTTGGTACAAACATGTAAAATTACGTTTGTTTGAACGAGTTTGCGAACCAGCATGATCGGACCATGGGAATGGGGTTTTATGGGAGGATTTATGGGGTAAAAATTGGGTTTTCTCATTTTTTACCCTCAAAACATAAGATTTCTCAAATTTTCTCTAAACTGTTTTGAAGAGCTTAAAAACACAAATAATTCAGTATATTGAAGTGTTTTTGTATGGTTATTGGTTACGGAGAAAATTGTAAAATAAAAATTCCCATGTTATTCTTATGAAGAATAAGTAAACTGTTGTAGTTTGCTTGTTTATGCTTATATTTGGATCAAACTTACCCAATCTATTTATTTTGTACTAAGCTATTAATATTTTACTAAAAAACACACCTTTATTACCCTGTAGGCAGCAAACCTAGGTGCTCGTTGAACCTAATGTTATTTGAATAGATTTAATTGAAAATCAAATCAGGCAAATGGAAATTCTCTTAGTCTGCAGGTTTGCTGCGGCGGGGGTATTTTTACATTTATAATTGTTATTATGGGCAACCTAATGCGGCTATGAGTGGGAAACATTTGTAGAAAACATTAAAAACGAGATCAGCTTTTGAAAAGCTTTAAGATATTTACAAGAAATGTTGATTATATCAAACTGTTATGTACATCGTGAGTATTTGCATTATCTTTGAGTCGACTCTTTTAAAGTCATTGGAAATTATGACCAACACCTGTAATACTTCACAATTGCTCAAATTCTAGCAACAGGTGCACTAGTTTTAATATAATTTAATAAACTTGGACAAATGAACCTCACCCGTCCATGGTATTAACTCTCTTCTTAATTTAGTATTTAATTAAAAATTAGCTTTATAGCACACATCTTATCTTCATTTAAAATTATGCATTGGTAACATGTGAAAAATTGGGTGATGATTATGAATCTATATCTGTGCAAGAGGCATGATGATTAGGTCGGCAAGAGTTTGCTTATGTACAATAGTTGTTGGTCATCTTCATGAAGGAAATTAAAAATTGAATGTGAATTAATTTTTTCTCCTTAGTTATTATTCTATTCCTCAGATACAAATGAGGCTAAAATTGAGGTTAAATTATTGAATTTATGTAAGTAATCAAGTCTTGTAACATCTATTCCTTTTTGTCCAGTTTAAAATACACACAGATTGATTATTAATTGAAAAGTTAATTTCGCTTAATTTGTTGCAGCAGTCAGTCAATGAAAATGATGAAAGTGAAATCCAACAGAAAAGTGTTGACGGTTCAGAAAAATCACTTGACAGCTACCCAGAAGATGGCCAGTTTGTGGAGACTTCAGAAAACGACCTTGAGCCTGAGCCAGCATTTGTGCCAGAAGCTGGTAATGAGCCTGAGCCAGCATATATACCTGTAGCTGATATCAAGACAGAACCGGTGGAACCAGAAGAAAATTACAGTTTGGATGATTACTCTGGAAACCTGAATTTAAATCCGTTTGCTAGTGAATTAAATGTGAAAGATTCTTGTCTAACCCCCAAAGTAACTTTTGAGCCAGCACAACCTCCCAACACCCTTCCGAACGTGATGTTTGGAAACGCTACTTCTGTGGATGCTCAGATGTGTCGAACAAGTGAAACAGAAACAGTTTACTATCCTCCTAGTGATACATATAGTGACATTAATACAAGTAACAACACACATATCTCTAACATTAGGCCTAATACCAGTAATTTAACACCTCACATTGAACTTCGGACTAACAGTTGTCAAGATAATGTAAATTTCAGACCACATGATGCACACATCAACGTACCACAAAGAGTGATTAGCGGATCTGATGAGGATTTCACCAGCTTGAAACATGTTGTGCAGAAGTTGGAGGACATTTCCAATCGGCTGGCTTTTACGACAGATCCGTATGAAGAGTTTGGTAAATATCTCGCCACATTGTTACGAGGCATCCCGTACAACAAGTTTCTTTCTCTCAAGCAAAAGTTTGTCGACGATGTGTTTAGATCTATGATGGCTTTGCAAGAGATTAACAGACCGACAACGGTACAATCGGCATCCAATCTGCCATCGGAATATTGGAGTGCTGTTAGACCGAATCAAGTAAATCCATTCCAGTCTACTTCCAGTGGTGGGGTTTGTGTTGCTTCTTCCACCAAGCCAAATATTCCCTCTTGCACTGTGACTAAGGATTTCTCAAACTCTGCAGTGCCTCTAACTGTTCCTAACCTCCCTACAGCCTCGTTTGCCCAGATGTCGCCTAGAGTAACTGAGAACAGGTTGAGCGGAAGTTCAAGCAGCAAATCTAACGGGTAAACATCTATTGTGTTACCCTCAGTTAATTGGTAGAAAGGTTTTATTTTTATAGTACTCATTGTAGTTAATTTTTTTAACTAAAAGTGCTATTTTCATAACAATAATGTATTCACTGATAGGCAAAAAGAAATGAAAAAACGTGTAGTAAAATGAAATATGACAAAACTATGACCTTGATACTCGAAAAACTGTCTCGTCCTTCTGTTTAGTTTACTAATTAGCTTAAAATTATCTAGTTTTTCCAAATTTCAACTACTTTGAGGGTGCTGTTTAACCAGAAACATGTTTAATTGACTTTTATTAGTGTACTGACAGTTTATTTATACACTGAGATTAGGCTAGATACTCAATAAATTAAATTCCTCCATTAAATCCCATATAAAATCAAATCACCCATCAATAACTTCCCGAAGAGATGTCGAACCTGCAGTTAAAATAATATCTGCACAATCCACAAAAATATTACTCCTAATATTGGAATATAATACTTCTTAGCTTTTATTTCTATGGCCCTTTAACTCCAAGATGGCTGCAAGCCTTTGTTGCTTCATCATTATTCTTCTCCTTTTGCTGTTTCTAGCATTAATTTTCAGACTTAAATTCTAACACAACCTACCCAGGTTTTTTAACCTGCAAAAAAAATGATAGTGAATGAACATAAAAGCTTTTGCCCAACTGCCATATTATCATCTGTATCTGTACATATCCAATATTGTTACTATCTATGTTGTTAACTATAGAAAGACTCTAAATTAATGGTTTTGCCATTTAAATATTTGAAAAATTAACAACAAAATGTTTACAGTAATCTGAAGAGGCCAACAAACTCATCCTCAAGAAAATGTCAGAAAAAACCTCACATTGAAGCTTTGCAGGATCATTCCCAGCAACAGTTTCACGTGTAAGTACCTATATAGTATTTTAAGAAGAGGCTCATTTGTGTCAGTAAACACAAATAAATCAGTAAATTTGTAATTAAGGTAATTACTAATTTGTAATTACTGATGACATTCTTTGTCTGATTTGATTTTCTCGGCTCTAAAACTAATTTTTGTGTAATTTTAAACAACTAACTGTGACTATCATTATTCTCAACCAATAAAAAAAAATTATATACCGTACTTAATAAATAAGAGTTTTCCCTGTTACATACCTTTTTGGTCCTATTCAACCGATTTTTACGATTGAGGTGTTATTGTAAAGCTTAACTAAAGGCGTTTTTCATTTGTGTGAATTTTTTTTTATGGTGATTTTCCCATAAAATATTTGAAAGATCAAATTTCCTCAAAAATGGCCTTAACAATTTTGATAAAGTTTTCTATGTTGTAGCCCTTTAAATTTTGAACAAAATGGTGGAACTCCCGTTCCTGTAAAAATCACAGATCAAAAGTTATTGTAACTTTAAAAACCACATAAAATAAGAGAAAATCGGATTTTAGAATTGAAATTAGTATGTAATGGTCCTTATAATTATTAAGAACATAGTGCAACGCCATTGCTGTAAAAATTACGGTTCAAAAGTTAATGCAACAATTAAATATCACAGTGTTACTCTCATCGCTTACTTACAAAGATTGTTGACCACGCTCTCAATCCTGCTAGGCTATCCATGTCCTTGTTAACAGCCAACAGCTGATCCCCCAACCCCTTACCTCGCTTCTTCTCCAGCTGAGTCGAAGACGGCATGTTGTGGGATGTTGTTGTGTCGGTCATTGTCTCTTTCTCTGGCTTATTTGCCAAACCCATTTTCTTTATTTTCTGTCTACAGTGTTGCCGTCTCCATGTATAGTTGGTAAAATTGCATTTTCACTAGATACATCGTCTAGATTAGTTTTAGTTTCTAAAGTGAGCGACATAGTTCCCTACGCCCTACGAAAAACTGTGCGTGATTTTCGATCGGGACAGTGTCGTGAAAGACTGAACCTTTGCTAAATTCTAATGTGAGCAGGGGTATCCAATTCTACTGAGGACTAGGAATCTGGGTACACAGGTAATTGCACAACACACAACACAGCAGCAATAGTGAGCGATTTGAACATTTTATTTCTACTGGTAAAATATTTAGTGTAATATTATCCCCCCTCCCTCACGTGTACACTGGTTAGAAGCTAGGAGTAGGGCAGGTGTTTCAAATATTTCAATATTACTGTTGGCCTAATAAGTTACAGTACATTGTCCATATGCCAGAAGGCCTATTATTATTTTTATTTTCTGCCTAGAATAACTAGGCTGGTCCTTCACATTTATTTCTCCATTGTCACGTAGTCAACTTTAATATCGAAGGATTCTCAATGGGAATTAACACCCGCTGCACTTTCTAAAGACAATAGATTAAATATTTCCCCTCCCCCTCACCAAATATTTATGTTGAAGTCATTGCAGGATAGTTTATATTTTAAATTGCAATTTTATTTTTCAATTTTTAGGTCTGCTCTGGGCGTTATGGAGGATCCAACTGCACAACCAACACAAAATCCCTTGAGGTAATTGTTTATTTGTTATTGTTTGTTTATTAAACACCTTATGTTTGTATTCTGATGTTATTGTATAAATTAAAGTCGTGAGATTAGCCAAGCGGATGTGAAATAATTTGGTATAAAACTTGCCAATAATTTTCACTGACATCAGACAGTTAAAGAATTAAATCACTACTGCTGATTTCAGACAGAAGTTCAATCAAGTAAACCTTACTCATTCAACAGAATATTTTTTATTAACTAACTGTCCAAGGCTTATAGTGCTCAGTGCGCTGGTTTGATTCAAAGACCCAGGTGCCATTTGTGATTGGGCTATTCATTGATGGTGCATTTTGACAAAGGATTTGACAAAGGTCGGGGAAAAAAGTTTAGATACTCGAGTTTGTAGCTCTACAGAAAGTAACGAAACTACTTAGAAAAACACGGAGTATATCTAAATTTCCGTTGTTTTATTCTACGTAGTCCTGTGAAAAGATAAAAATATAACTCACTTGGACACTTAAAACCTTAAAAAAAAACCTGTTTTTAGAGTATTAAAAACCATCTTATAACAAACTTTGAAAAACCACACAATATAAACTTAACATCAGAACTTCATCAAACCTTAATACAATATAGACACATTTATAATGAGTTAATTCGTATGGTTTCAGAATTTTTACAATTACCCAAAAAGATTTAGTTGTTAATTTTGTTGTCAAAGTCAAAACATTCTTTATTATTATTATTATTCTTAATTCTTTATTATCGTAGCGTAAGTACATTGAACATGCGTCCTTTCTTAAAACTAATCCTTATAATACAATTTCTGTCAATAAGTACAATAATGTTAAAAACACCATCATTTCTGTTAGCAAATATTAAATTTAAGGCCGTTAGTTATTTTAAAACTCATCTAGTGAGTATAATGCTCTCTCAACTATTGTGTCTATTATGGTAGAAATTTTGTTTAAAAATTTAGATCCTATATAATTTGGCTTTTTCTCAAAAATTTTTAAACGGTGACTTTGCAACCTTATTTTTTTATTGTTTCTTGTATTGTAATAGTGGATCAACTGACCAGTCTCAAATTGCTCTTGATTTTGTTTTGAGTAAACAATAGTTTCATATACATAAAAACTAAATACCGTCATAATTCTTAATTCTTTAACATTTTCTTTAACATGGTCAGTTTGTTCCATATTTAGCATTATTCTGATTGATTTCTTTTGTAGTTTTAATATCTCATTCAGATGATTAATATTGGTTGCTCCATAAACATGTATATTGTAGGCTAAATGAGAATGAATCATACCGTAATAGACCATTTTGAGAGTTGTCAGATCACAAATATTTGTTAATGTCCTAAGAGCGGACACACCCGAATTCATTTTTGCCAGTACTTTTTCAACGTGGGAGTTCCAACTGAGACTGCTGTCTATATTTAGGCCTAAAAAGGTTGTTTGTCGAACAGGTTCTAAAGATGTACTATCAATTTTTATGTTGGGGAAAGCAATTGTTTTTTTTTTTTGGTGGAAAAGTTAATATAATTAGTTTTAGAAATATTCAAAAATAAATTATGCTCAATTAAAAACCTTTGGATATTAATGAGTTCTGAGTTTGCCACAGATTCTATTTCCTCCAATTTTTTTCCTGATATCTTTAAGTTTGAATCATCTGCATAAAGAATTATTTTGCTCTCCTTTGATTTACTAGTGTTTGGTTCAAACCGTTGATGTAGATTATGAACAATAAGGGGCCCAAAATTGACCCTTGAAGTACACCTGTTTTTATTTTTTCAAGTTTTGATGTTATTTTTGTAAGAGTGTGTTACTTCTACATATTGAGCTCTGTTTTCTATATATGACTGAAACCAATTATAAGAAATGTTGGTAATTCCCACATTCTTTACAATTTCCAACAACTTACTGTGGCAAACACTATCGAATGCTTTTTTAAGGTCCATAAAGACGCCAATACATATTTCACCTTTATCTATTGAATTAAGAATGGTTTCCACAAATTCTGCTGTTGCAGTCCCAGTTGATCTCCCTTTGCGGAAACCATGCTGAGATTCATCTAACAAACCCTCCGTCTCTAAATATTCCAATAGCCTTTTGTGCATGGCTCTCTCATAGATTTTTGAGAAAGTTGGGAGCAACGATAAGGGCCTATAGTTTGAAATTTGTTTAGGATCACCTTTTTTTAGAGCTGGCATTACTTTGGCTATTTTTAGTTTGTGTGGAAAAATCAAGAGACAAAGGATGAATTGATCAGATGAACCATCACCTTGCATATTGCTGGGCTAATAAACTTTATCACTTTTATTGGTACTTCATTGTATCCACATAAAAACTTATTTTTTAAGCCATCAATTATTGCCATACATTCTTTATTATCTATTGGTTCAATCTTAAAACTGTTTGGGCCTACCAGTCTAGAAATGATGCTGTCTTTATCCAACTGATCACTCTGTTTACATGTATTAGTACTACAAATATTTGAACTGTTACTACTGCTAACATCATTCATAGATTCTATAAAATATTTATTAAATTCAGTAGCTATTTCATATGGGTTTCCTAGCTTATTATAATTTACAACCAGTTTTATATTCTCATTAATTTTTCCCTTGTCCTTCACTGTCTCTGATTTAATTATTCCCCAAGTTGTTTTTCCAATACAGGTTGATTTTGAAATTTTGTTCTTCAAAAAAATCTTTTTTGTTTCAGTTAACCTTGATTTAAATGTTTTATTTTCTTGTTTAGCTTTATTACTTAAATGTTTGTTTTTTGTTTGCCTTGCTATTTTAAATAAATTTATTACTTCTTTTCTTTCTTCTTTTAGACAATCTGTGATCCAATTGTTATTATTGTAAGTTTTATCCTAGTTTTTGTCTTAGGAAATATAAGATTGAAATAGTACGGTACATAAAAGTTTTGAAGAAAGCATTGAACTTATCCTCGACATTTGCATAATAGACATCATACCAGTCTTCCATTCCCAAATAGTTTTTGAATATTTCCAGATTTTTGTGTGAAAAGGTCTGTTTGTACTTTATAGTAAAGTTATTATGTTTCTTACTATTTTCATCTGCTATTTAGTATTTGCCCGTCATGGTCAAAGAGAGCAGTCACAATCCCCTCAACTTCTACTCTATCACAGTTTATATTAGTTATTACATTGTCAATACCTGTGCTGGTCTCTTCTGTTACCCGAGTGGGAAAGTTGACATAGTACCTCAGACCATACCGTTTTAACACATTTACTAATTCCCTCTTAGGTTTCCCACTCTCCAAAATGTTAATATTAAAAACCCCCGCTATGGTTACATTTTTATGATTTTTAAGAACTATTTGAATTGCTAAGTCCAGCCTATCATTAAATTCTAAATAGCTACAGCATGGTGATCTGTATATACCCATTAAAACAAATTTTAAATTTTTACATTTCACTAAGGCTAGGCAGCACTCAAACATCTTATCTATACATAAATCATGTAACTGTTGAATTACCAACGGTTTACACTTAAAACTCCCATCAGACAGTATTGCAACTCCACCCCCAATAGTTGACTTTCTGGAATAGTAATTACAAACATTGTAGTTATTCAACTTTAAGTTATTAAATTCTACTTCTGACATATGGTGTTCTGTTAACACAATTAAATTTGGTTTAATTTCTTCTAATTTCCATGGATTCTATTTTAGATTGTAAGCCCCTTATGTTCTGGTGATATATTGAAAGAATAGCCCCTTTACTGTTTATTATATTGGATCTCTTGCAACTGTCTGCTGGGAGTTTAAAGCCCCAACCTCCTGATTAATATTTTGAGCAACTTCAGATATGGCGCTCGCTGATGGTTTCCCTTTGACAACACTTTTAGCACTCTCACTTTTACTCTGCTTTGGCGCCTCACAAAACGTGAGGTCGCCGGGCACTACACTTATAACTTCTCCATTCTGTGGTTCCTCCATTGATGTCAGTGAAGGCTGGTCAGACAGAGTCGCAGTGTCGGCCGTTGGTTCCAAGGCAGGAGAGGTACAGGTTGCCGTCATAGGTGGTGTGACAGTTTTCTTTCCTTGCATCAGACGAGCTGTTCATTGTCTCTTTATCTTGATTCAGTTGATGCCCATGGATAAAAGTCTTTATTTGGTTGTTAAATTCATCGTGTGATAAACCATTTCTTAACTTTCTCAATGACTTTTGAAAGTACGACACAATGGTGACTTTTGCTCCTGTTTCATTTTGAAAAGTTGTTAGGTTTTTTAGGAAATCCTCAAAGGATATATTATCTCTAACACAACCAACTGGCGAACAAATCAGATGTGTTAAGTTCTGTTCTTTAAAATGTGTTGTCAATTCCTTAAAAGCAGCATGATAGTCCTTCATATTTGGTTTTCCATTATAGTTATCTTTTGTAATCAGGCTGTACACAGTAGCACCCGGTTTCTGGTGTTGAGCTGCCAGATGACTTGAGACACGGTGATGTGGTTCAGGTTTCCCAAAGTGATTTTTGAAAATCACTGCCACCCCTGCTGTCATGTGTCGAGGGTGATTAAAGTCTGCCGATATGCTGTGTGCAAACCCAACTGATTCATGATGCCGGTATTGTGCTATAATATCAAACATTGGTTTATCTGTCAGTGTCATTTTACATTAGTTTTGTGAATTAAATTTTTTGTTTGTATTCCATGAAGTTTGTACTTGTTGATTGCTGTATTCTTAAGGATCATTTGAAGGTGGCTGACAAGATCTGTTTCGGTTCAAAGGCCACTGGGAGAGAGTTTTGATGACTACACGGGCCAGTTTAGCCCTGCCTCTATTGTTTATGTGGAGACCATGTGTTGTAAAATCTGCCCTAGTTACAAAATTGAGATTAATTATGAAAGTATTTTCTAATTTTGCTACTAGCTCTAATATGTATTTATTGACTAAATTTAACTGGATGTTTTCAATGCTGTTTGGATGTCTGTCATATCTTACAGGAATCGTTGTGATGAACACTGGTCTGGTTTTACTGACAGACACTAATTTCTCCTCCAACTCTGTGAAAATGTTAGAATAACTATTATTCAGGCTGTCATTACTTCCCCCTATAACTATTAGTGGTGTGTTCAAAGTTTTTTCTATTGAGGATGATTTGATGACATCAATCAGAGTGATATTAGGTCGTACATACCCAAACACATCTATTTTTCCATAGCTTATATTATTTATTGTGGACGCCAACATTTTCCCTTGGCTGTCTGAACACAATGTAACTCTGATGTAATCCTCTTGTTTCTTTTGTTTTGACATATGGAGTTCAAGTGTATTATTTTTGGAGTTATTTTTAGCAGTGAAGTTTTTTTGCTGTGCCGATGATTTGGGCTTTGTTTTATGAGCCACATTCCTGATCTTGCAGTTTTTTAGAGCAAGTTTAGATTGCGATTGAGATTGTCATTCCTTGTCCGATTGATTTGTCCTTGTCTCATCGAATCTTTCATCATCATCAGACTCACTTTGTAAATTAAAACAATTTTGTAAGTTAACTTTTGTTCAAAAGTGGCAATTGCTAGAAAAAAAATTAAAAGCATGTTTTGAAGGAGATTGATTGGTTTGTTATCTATATAAATAAAATTAGAGTTTTGTCTGTACATTGCTTAGAATAATGAACTTTTTGGTTATTTTTACATTTCATAGGTCAGAGAAACCGAATCAAACCTTATCTCAATTTCTGTCTGTCTGTCTGTCTGTCTGTCTGTCTGTCTATCTGTCATTCTCTTGGTAACGCTAAAATACGCACTTTATTACAACTACTCCTCAATAACTATAGCACTGTCCCGCCTGAAACTTATTTTCCAAATACTATACATATATGAGATGGTTTTAGACGTATTTCATCGAATATGAGACAGTTAGATATTTAACAGTAAACCCTTGAAAATCAAGTTTTTGTCGATTTTTGACGTGGAATTTCTGGAAGCCCATGTTAACCTTATGAGAAATGAAATTATTGAATCTTAACAGCTGTTTCAATTAAACAAGTTGGTTCTGTTCTGTGATGTTCAATAGCATTAAAGTTACAAGGATTACCAACAGGGTGCAGCACTAGCACTATTATTTCTTTTACATTTATGACAACAGCTAATTTGCAACCTGGAGGCGAGTGAGCGTAGCGAACGAGCTAACCTGAAGGCAAGTGAGCAAAGTGAGCGCAGCGAACGAGCTCCAACATACAGGTGAGTGAGCGTAGCGAACGAACTTCAACCAGGACGTGATTGAGCCATGCAAACGAGATCAGATAGTAAAAATAAAAGTAAGCCTACCGTTATAGGATCGACCGGCAGACACAGAGGTAATTTAACCTTTTATTGATTGTCATACCGATCCGGAACAACAAAAAACAACATAAAATGAAGCTATGTATAATAGTTTGGCCAGCATATCTTAAAATATGCAAACCAACTGCTGTTCGTTATATAAGAAGGTTTCAACTGAATATTATAAGATCCCCGTGCGTAGAACGGGTACACAGCTAGTTTGAAATATTGATACTGCTCAACCACATTGTTAAGCATATTATTTATATCAATTAACATTTAATTTGGTAGCAGCCGAATACGGAACTTCCAGACTAGCACCGCCTCTGACTGGGCGCTTACCCCGTACAGTGTTGCCGTTTAAACACCTGGACACTGGGCAGGGATGGGCTACTAACTCTTGAGTCAATTGCATATATTATTTACAATGATCTTCCTAAACACTCCTGCACTTTATAAGAAAAGTTTTTGTTACAAAAGTAACCAACAAAACAATTTATGTAAAGTAAAAATAACAGGGTGAAAGGGAATAGGTTTTTTCAGGACTATGTAGAATGAAACAACACAAATTTAGATATACTCTGTGTTGTTCTGAGTAGTGTGTTATTACGTTAAAATTTGTAGGTCACGCTTATTGTACATAGCAGATGTTCTTTTCATGTTTAAGATGATTTATTTTTGTTTTCTGAATTTGTCATATGTCAGCCTGGTGAGATCAACGGACTGAAAATAGCATAATTATTCTTAGTCCTAATCAACTTCATTTGTTTTGTATCTTTTTATTAATGTGAATTTGTTGTGCAATAATTGTGACCTGTGTACTTATATGTATCCGATCTGAAAGAGAAAATAAACAAACATTCTATTCTATTCTATTCTATAGTAGTTCGGTCTTACTTTTCTGTAGAGCTCCAAAATCGAGTGTCTAAAGTTTTTTTTTTTCGACAGTAGATACTGTAGTATCAAGACCAGTGTTTGGATTGTTCTCTTACACAAAACTTTAATAGATTGTTGACTTTTTTCTATACTCTGGCATAAATAGCTAAAAAAAAGACATTGAGTGTCTTGCATACCTTTTGTTGTTTTATTGTACATGCCTTGATTCTGAACCATATTTCAAAATTTTAGGGATACAGGACTCGAAGACACCTTTGAAATTGAAATTGAGGTAAGTCATGAATCTTTTTACCTTCACCTTGTATTGTTTTTTTAAAAGACACATCATACTCATCAGTTTTATAAGAACTAGAGGTTTTCCAGTGGTCGAAAACTCAAACAAAAATAATTAATGTATAGACTTCTCTATTTTCAACCCACACTGTAAATAAAACATGTGATTGGAATTTCTTTTTTTTTTAGATTTTCTGAGAAAAATCAAAATATATTTAAAAATAAAAATATATGCTACTCTTTTTGAAATGGTCTACATACAATTTTATTTTTTAATCAATAGATTAACCTTTCTTAATCTAATCAACATAGACGTCTTAAAATTGGAACAAATGCAACCCTTTTATAAGAATTTGTCTATATTTTCATGTTATATGTACAAGAAACATGATTTTTTATTTCCAGAAAAATATACAAATCATCAATATAATCTGGCAGGTCCTAAAACCACATTTAAACAAGGCCAGTAGACAGGTTTCTTGCCTCTAGTGTATTTCAAGTTACCTGGGGGCAGAATACCTGCCGGTCAAATGGTTTTGTGTGAACACGGCTTAGAAGCGGATAACTTATACTGTAATTTTTATAGCTACTCTTTGCTAGAGAAATGGAAAGGTATTACTTCAAAATTGAGGTATTATTTTATTTGAAAAATATTTTTTTTTTTCAAAACTGCAGCTAACGGTACACCGTAGTACTAGCTACATACGGTTAACTGTTTTTTGGTATTTACTAGTTTATTACTTTTAAATTAAATCCAAACTAAACAGCTTGAAAATGTTAAACATTGTGAAATATTTATCATTTTCATTTCTTCAACAAGAACTGGTAATATTGGAATTAATATAAATTTTAAATAAAAACTTCACCAATATTTTTAGAATTTTGAATTGCATGAGGCCTTTTGCCAGCTATACATCACAAAACTAGTTATCAGCATAGCTGGCAAAAGGCCTCATGAAATTAAAAATTCTAAAAATATTGGTGAAGTTTTTATTTCAAATTTATATTTTCATTTCGATTAATGAAAATCTTCTACAGCTACACAATGTATTTTTGTTTTGTTTTAGGAAAGTAAGGAGCTGCAAGATATAAAAGTAGATATCACCGGTACTGTATGCAAATCGGAGGTATTAACTTAGTCATGCTAGTTCTTAGTATGTTACTTAGCCGACCTTCACACCTCAGCTGGTCTCTAGGTTTCAGTGAAGGACTCTAGTCATGAAGGCCTGAGTTCAAGACTAGCCAATCACTGATAATTTTTAGCTACGTAAGAATGTCTTGGCACAGGGCTTTAAACCAACCTTAAACTGTAGGTGCCCCTTTCTGGACCAAAAAAGCAGGGACGTCACAGGCTAGAAGAAATTTCTCTGTTTTAGAGGACACCCTCCTAATGAAACATATATTTATTGATGAGCTAACCTCTAAAGCGCCACAGATGCTGTTTTATGCTGGTTGCTTTGTCAGTGTTGTTTACATCCAAAACAGATGGCAATCATACAATTTTGTTTACATCCGTACAAAAATGGGGTTATCTGTAGTTGATGATGTTTCAGTGAATTCACTTGAATGTCGTAATCTTCTTATTTGTATAAAATGTAAAGAAGACATTGACTTGCATTAGATTTTGTGCTGTGATAGGTTTTTTTTGTTTTCATAATGTGTTTGATTGATTTTATAATGAATTCAAGTAAAATATTTTAGCCTAATGTTATTTGTTTAAAATGTAAAGAAGAAAATGACTTGCGTTAGATTTTGTGTTTTCATAGGATGTTTCATTAGTATTTGTAATTTTTTTAAGATAACTCGAAAAGATCACTCACACACAATGCAAATAATAGGGATATGATGAGAAATAATTGTTTTCAACTAACTATATATATATCAAATTTATCACAGATTTTGAAGTCACAAAGTAACACAGGTTACTAGTAGCTATAAATATTTTTTTTTAATAAGCACTTGACATAGGAATATACTAAGATAGGTGATATCTTATAGTATTAGGATAATTAAAGTCTATTAATAATTAGTTGTTTGATAGGATTGTTTGTTTTAGATCCCTGAAGAACCAGATCCACCACAAAATCATCTGGGAGCGATGCAAATTTGTGAACAAATCTCTCCAACAGACAAGAATACCTTGCCTATTGCGGATGGCAAATCAATGACTGAATACTGTAGCCTCAAAAATCCCACTACGAATTTCACATGTCAAAAATGTAACTTGGACTTCCACTCAAGTATAGATTTGAAAAGGCATTCCATGGTTTCACACGCAGGTAATGTTATTGTTTGTTCTGTAACCTTAAGACATGTATATATTGACTAATGACTATTAGCTATAGCTGTGCTTCACATCAGGATGACACAGCAAAAGGAAAGGTTATACTGTATCTCTTTATAGTCCATTAAATAAAGACAAAAATGGGGGGGGGGGGGTGAACTTACAAACGGTCTGGTAGTTGTAAATTTTTTATTTTTTGTCTACACATTGACTAAGACTTGTTTTTTGCTAAAACGCACCAAAACTGAGATAAAGGTTATTTTTCCAATATGGCGGTGGGCACAGCGGGGGGAAATTGTGCATTTTGCATTTTAAACACCTACTTACCATCCTAGACAACATATAAAAAATGTACAACTTCCGGACCGTTTGTAAGTTAAGAGACCTTTATTTACTGGATTATTGTAGGAAAACTTTACCCCGCACCACCTATGATCAAAGAATCTCTTTTTTGACAAATGATTGATTATACAAATTATTCTGTTGTTTTTAAACAACTTATAAGGTAAAAACTAGCAGCAAAACCCGGAGTTGTCTGGGTCAATTTTTCACTGCTTAAAAACTGGAAGAAGTTATTTATTCGGGCTTCTGTTATGGGCCTATGGTATACAAGAGAGTTGGACTGTTCAAGATAAGTTTTCTCGGAATAGGCTAGGCGTATGTCTAAGTTAACTGCAGCATGGTCGGAAAGGCCATACTCCATAACTGTAGTAATATAACTGGTATAATTGAGATCAGTCGAGAACTGCATTACCTCTTGTAGGCGTAGAGTTGGTTGGATGTAAGTTGAACTGCCTCAAGTCTTGCAAGTTCACGCTGGATCGGTTTGGTAAAATCAGCCACCAAATCTACATTGTAGTCCCCTCCGATGACAAGGGAAGACGATTTAAGACTTAAAAGGAGACATAATAACCTTTCAAACTGATTGAGGAATATATTTACATCACCATTAGGTGATCTATAAACACTGACTACAATGATATTGCATTCGAGTTTGATGGCAGCAACTTCCAAATGTTGAGTTGAGCAAAAACGAGCATAGGAAGGTAATACAGTAGAACGTCGATTATCCGAAGCCCGGTCATCCGAACCGTCGGTTAACCGAAACAAGGAAGAAAGAAGCAAAAATCAATAAAATTGCGCGCAAATCACAACTGGCCGTAGTGCTACGCCACCGCACGGCTGCTAAGTGGTGAAAGTCTAGTCTAAATATAGCTCAAAGGTCTGACCCTCCCCCTTCCCCCCAAACCCCTACTTCATTCTCTGTTATTATGCCCGCTCACTTCAAGGTCATTGCACAACCCCTCCCTCCCTTCTATTGTTTTCCATTGCCAGTCAGTCGGCGACTGCTTTGAGTTGACCTATTCTGTTGTAATAGCTAAATAAATGGGTTAGGACAACTACCTCTTGCTTATTTCTACACTGTAAAAATATTTGTATTACTGTAGAATCTACAGTAGTAAAAATTATCCAGTATTTTATGTAAACACAAGTTACATTTTAACAAATATTGATTTTTTACCAATTTAAACCAAACTCGACTTGAAACTGCCGAGTTAAAAAATAAGCTCCAGTTTCAAAGCCGTAGTCGACTCGAACTCGAAATCTCGAGTACTCGCACATCGGCACGACGCGAAATCGGCAAATCGCCGCCCGCCGCTATCCCTTCCCGTCATTTCCCGTTCCCCGTATTTTTCCCGTCAATGACCGATTTTCCAAAAAATCAGTTATTCGAACACCCCCAATCCCCAATTAATTCGGATAATCGACGTTCTACTGTAAAGCATGTTTTTTTTTTTTTTGTAAAATATTTATAGCTTAGTATAAAATAAATAAATTTGCCAAGTTTTATCAAAATATTGGAATTTTTCCATAACCGTTAATACCGTTAAGCACATGAAAACACAAAAAGATCTACAAAATGGTTGTATAAGAAATTTCAAAATTTAGGTTTTGAGGGTCAAAAATGGGGAAAAAATTTTTACCCAATAAAAACCCCTCCTAAACTTTGTTCCCAAGTACCAATCATGCTGGTTCGTGAACTCATTCAAGTTTATCCCGCCCTTCACCTTCAAGCATAATTTAATGAAAATCGACAAAAATTACTCAAGTTATCGCATTTAAGGACACATATGAGGCTAAGAGCGAGTGATAGTCGAGCAGCTGCAATGACTCTGGACGGGGAGGAGGTGAAGTAAGTTGCAATAACAGAGGCCTTTGCTACTTCCAATCTGTTTACGTTCCCATCGATGTTGAGGAGTTGTATAGCCAGGCGGTCTGCTCTGTCCATGCACACTCTGGTTATCTCGCATTTGGTGACATCACTGAGGAGGAGTTGCTGTTGGCATTAAAAAAAATTAAACCCAAACGCTCTGTAGGCCCTGATGGTGTCCCTTCTTTTATATTTAAAGGTTGTGCTGAGCTGTAAGTTAAGCCTCATCTAAACATTTTCAATTTGTCTATTAGTGGGTTGTATTTGATGAATCTTTGGAAGACTACAAAAGTTGTCCCTATTCATGGGGAAAAGAGTGATTTAAAAAACTACAGACCGGCTGTTATTTTATCCACACCAGCGAAGCTGTTCAAAGCCTGGTTGTATGACAGGATTTTCCATCATGTGAAGTTCTGGATTACAACTCTCCAACATGGTTTTATCCTCAGAGGTCTATCAATCACTAATCAATCACTAATGTGATGATTTTTTCAGATTTTCGTATTTCTTCTTTGGGCAAAAAAGGTCAGGTTTTTTATGCAAGTATAAGCTATTATAAATCAGTAATTTTTACCATCTAGTGTAAAAAGAAATAATGTGTTGTGGATTGCCAGGTGAAAATTTCCATCATAATAAATTGAAATTCCACTGTAGCTTAAATAATAAAAGCTAAAGTAAATAAAAGGTGAGTTTCCTTTATATTGCTTTAACAATCAAAATAAACACTGTGTATAACGATCCTTTGATTTTTATGATATAAAATAACTTATCAACTATTTGGGCCTGTAAGAAATACATTTTTAGTTTTATATTCTAAATACTTTTTTGGAGTTGTCATTTAATTATTGCTTTCATTTTGTATACATGAAATTATGGAACTCCCTCTTATCCAGACTCCTCGGGACCGAGGCCAGTCTGGATAACAGGTTTTCCGGTTAAACCGACGTCCCCAAAAGCTTGTAAAAACGGACCGTTTAAATGCATGTTTGACTTAAATTTATGAAAGCATTGTATTTAGACACATGATCAAATCAACCTTAAAACCCTCTGGGGCGGAGCCATTTTGACGGATCTGCACCAAACTTCACTCAAACCATCCTTGAAAGATGCTTAATAATGCCTGAAAGTTTCAATACAATCTGTAAAGCGGATTCAGAGTCCATAACGTATATACATATATACACACATACATACATAGTTCCTCTTTTATAGATATAGACTAGCTGTTTGCCCGTTCTACGCACGGGGATCGTATAGTAGTCAGTTGAAACCTTATTATATAAAGAACAGCAGTTGGTTTGCATATTTTCAGGCGTGCTGGCAAAACTATTATATATAAACCTAATATTATGACATATAAAGAAAAAGCAAGACTTATACAGTAAGACATCAGTTAAATTTAATACTACTGTAATAAATAAGGTGCAACACTAACGATAACTAATTTGTAAATAGTAGGGATGGTCAAGTCTCGAAATTTCGGGAAATTTTTGGGAAATTTTAAATCTCGTTACACGAGACGAGATTTCTTTTTGGCCGAGATTTTTACCGAGACGAGAATTAAAAAAAAAAAAAAAAAAAAAAAAAAAAAAAACGCCTGCATAAAGTCAATGCAATACCCGCAATACAGGAGCGTGTTGTAGTTGCGTTTCCTTTGCGAAGGCGTTCTTATTTAATTAATTCTTTAAATGTAAATATTTCTTTAATTATTTTAATAATATTACTTTAATAACATTTGAGAAGTTTTGTTAAGTGTAAGCAGTGTGAGGAATATTTTATTACTATAAAAATTCAAAACAAGTACCTAACTATTTTATAAAAATTAATATTGCTTTTATTTTATGATTTATTTTATTTTAGGATAAGTTGAACTCTATCCTAACTGATATCACTATGTTTCCTAATCGTAGGCATTTTTAATAAGTTAGGCGTGATTAATAAAAACGCAGAGGATACGCGACCGGTAACCGGACGTGGATTAGGCGTCCGGCAGTTACTGTCATAACCTAACCTAACCAACCAAACTTGCTGATAGTGAAAAAAATCAAATCAAGGTTCAATTCTCTTCATAACATAAAATTATAAATGCCGAAAATTCTAACAAAAGATGTACAGTTAAGAAGAAATTACATTCAAAGCAAAATTTGTGACAAAAAGTTAAAGGTACCGATGAGTTTCGAACCGGGGACCTCTCGCATATTAGCCGAGCACTCTATCCACTATACCACGAACACTGATGGCTGATCATCGTATCATTGTGGTAATGGCGTTCCGGGACCCCCTACCGGACGCCTAATCCACGTCTGGTTACCGGACGCCTAATCCACGTCTGGTTACCGGACACGTATCCTCTGTGTAATAAAAAAATGTTATGCTGATGTTTTTTAATAAAAGATTGTAAATATTCTTGCCTATTATCATTATTTTTGTATTTAAACAGTCATCTAACAATGTTAAAAAATCAGATAAAAATTGTGAACGTGCATTTCCCGTTGTGTATGAGAAGGGAAATCCCGTCTCGATCTCGTCTCGAAATTTTATGAGAAATAAAAAATCTCGTCTCGTCTCGTCTCGAACTAAAAATCCAATCTCGTCCATCCCTAGTAAATAGTGATGTGTTGGTACGTAAAAATTATTCTTGTTGATACCACCGGTTCTAAGGAAAATAACAGTTCCAAAAACCAACGTTTACAGTTAAGAACTATAGTACATCCGACCAATTAAATGCGTTAATCCAGTTCCGAGGATATTAATCTCTCTTGGTTTTGGATTTTCTGGCAAAAAGTTATCAAAGTTATTTCTCATTTATTGAATTATTTTATTTGTAAACAACTTTTTATGTAAGCATTTTGGTGACAGTTTGAACAAAACAATCTCATCCAAAGAGATTTTTGTTAGGCTATTTAAAAGATTGCGTATTCTCTAAACTATGTATCGTATATGTAGTTAACATAAGAAGGAAATGTGAAAAAATCACACAATGTTGTGTTTTTTAAAGTTTTTAATTTTATTTCCTAATTAGTAAGGCCATGTATTGTAGGGAAAAGTGCCGGTATCAAGGATCGTCGTCGAATAGGTTGTCATGCGACAAATAATTGGGTAGGCCTACGTACCCAAGATACAGTTTATGGGCTTATTGGCTGTATGGTCCAGCGATTGCAGCACATAGCGGTGAGTAGAAACCGAAAGTGACACATTGGAAAAGCTAGTTTAGCATCATCCGTAAACCCGCAAACCTCTGTTACAATCCCCCACTGCAGTTATGATTTTTCACTTTACACTTCACACAACTGCCATTGAAACACCGTCAATGAGTGAAAACCTTGTTAGTAAGCTATTGGCGACGATGATTTTATAAATGCAAGTTCCCAGCCCTATACAACACTGATTCAAGGCCTTTTTCCCGGTTATAAAAACTTCAGAAAAATTGTATACACAAAGAATCTCTAATTTCATTTACGGTTACAATACACATTATTGAACTTTCGATTAATTAAATCCTTTATGTAAGGAAACTCGTTTTTAATCTCACTTGGTTTGGGTTTTGCTTTCAAAACGTTATTGGAATCGTTTGCGGTATTTGTAAACAACATTTAATGTAAACATATCAGTGACAGCTAGAAAAAATAATCTTGATCCGAACAGCTGTTCGTTATTTCATAGATGATTATGTGATGGACATCAGGAAAAAACTTGACAAAAATCGCACGAAATCGGGGTTTTAAACATCCGTCATTTTATTTAAAAAATAGTGAGGCCATATTTTAATGGCTAAAGACAATCTCGCCAATCCAGTGAATACATTAAAATGATTTGAATCTTGATAGGTACTCTCGTTTTTCAGGAGAAGGCCGCGTAAAATGCCTCTTGGGCCGTAACAGACGACCGACAGACAGAAATAGAGATGAGACTTGTTTCGGCTTCTTTAATGTATAAAACGAAAAAATAATCTAAAAATTTATAATTCTGAGCAATGTACAGACAAAACTCTAATTTTATTTATATAGATTATAATTTGATTTTCTTATGATAACTAGGTATTTGTACCTAGTTCTTGTTCTTAGGTATCTTGTATGATACCTTGAATCTTACCTTTTGTAAGATATTTTAAATGTTTTTCAGTCGCAGATCAGAACACAGGTAACCGTGATGAGACAGATATTAAAATAGAACTGATAAAACAAGAATTTACCAAAAAAGAACAGAGAAAGCCTAAAATTGTTGGGCCTGCTCGAAAGGCTTATTTGCGGGCAAGGAAAAGAAAATACAATGAAAAGAAGCGTAAGTTGTTTTACTTATAGTATACAGATATTATGCCAACTTAAAAGAATATTTTGCTAAACAATGTTTATTCTATCTTTGTAATGGCCTATCTTTTAAAATATGAAAAATATAAATCTTAATTAGATATGCTCATATGCCAAGTGGTCCAGCAATACGTAGTCGCTTGACTGTCTCAGAAAAAAATGTTTTGGAACATTCTGTAATATTTAAGGATACATAATCTGAGCTAAACCATGTACTACGCAAGTTTTTTAGGTGTGCATTGACATCGCTGTTTATAACCTGGTTCTGTGTTGCACCTGCTGCAGTGTTAGCACTGTTGTACTATAACAACACTCAGCATTTGGCTAACGTGGACTTGCTGAAGACCATGTCGCTTGTATAACCTGCATTATGAGTATACCATTGCCACAATGAACCAACACTATCACGTCACTAAATGATCCATGGCACTAGCACTCCTTTAACATAGCCCTAAGTTGTCACCATTGACATCATTGAAAGGCACACAGACAGACAGATATTGAGATAAGACTTGTTTAGGCTTTTCTAGGTTGGGAAACGTAAAAATAACCAAACACTTCTATACTCTATGCAAGGCCACACTAAAAAAAACAGGCCTTAATGCTCGTCTAGAATGATGTCACGATAGAAGACGGCAATGATGTAATTTTGCCGTTTGTGATCAGCTGCTTGTTTTAATCTTTTCATGGAAAACAAAAATATAACCTGGTGTTTGTCCAGTAGTTGCAGTGTGAGGTGTAGCTCGATAGCGAAATCAAAATGTCCTCAAGTTGTCTGTGAACAAGCTAGGCTCTTTATTGTACTGTAATTTGTTCAGAGCTCTTTTAAAGGTATCTACAGTTTTCTCCACTTGTCCATTAGAACTTGGGTGAGCTACTGGAGTCGTAGTATGTTTGATGTTAATGCGCAGGCAGAAATCTTTAAAACCTTGCGAAGTAAATGAACAGGGTTGGTACGGTCAGGGAAAACCTGGAAAAGTCAGGGAATTTGGTTGGTCGGGAAAAGTCAGGGAATTTTGGAAAAAATCTGGATTTTCTCTTGAAAGACAACATTTTTACAGATATGCTACATTTTGCATCTATGTCTCAATACTTGGTCAAAAACATCGAAGTTTGACGAAAACATCGATGTAACAAAAACATCGGGAACCTACCATCGATATAAAAAACATCGAACATCGACAGACATTCTATCATCACCCTCTGATTACTGGCTTTAATTGAACGCACCGAGCTCCCAGTGTTTCTACACGACCAAATAATATAATCCCGGTCACTGGGTTAAGAAATCCCGTTTAATCCCTTAAGATTTTTGATGTTTAACTAAGTGTTAAATTAGACATATATCCCATTTAAATAGTTGTTTTAACATTGCTATTATATTTTGTTAAGGTAATTTTTTTGATTGGGGTTAGTTTTTCACTAAAATAAAGCATAGTAAATAAAAACGGACGTCATAGCCAAAACTCCTGCTTTATCCCAAAACTTCAAATCCCTCTCATGCTCTAAAAAATCCTGTTTTCGGGATAATAATCCCACGTATGGAAACATACGATACTGAATACAATTTCTCATTGAATTTATACCAATACTGATTCAAACTTTAATAAACTAAAAAAACTGCACTTGTATTAGTTTGTAAAATAGTTATTTGTGCAACCAGTGAGAAAAGTGAGCAATTGACTCACTCGAGAGAAATCCTTACTCACGAGCCGTAGGCGTGTGAGGAATGGTTTCTCGAGTGAGGAAATTGTACTTTGAACTCGAGTTGCACATTATACTTTTCCTACAGTTACCATAAAACAAATAAATTGGTGAAGAAAAGAAACATAACCTATTTTTACACAGAAGTGAACTTTTAATATAACATTTAATGTGAAGTGACAAATACAACAGTACAACAGCTGACCAGCTGATTTACAGCCAGTGCTGCCAATGTATTTCGCGTGCATACGACGTTGCCTGCAGTTACGCGCTCACTATTTCATGCCTTCACGTTGCAAATCTGGAGTGAGACAAAGTAATTAGAGTGAGACAATGTTAACATTGTCTCACTGATGAGCGAATTGGCCACTTTGCTTTCTAAAATCAGTGAGAGAACATGTACATTGTTAGGTAACTGTAGGAAAAAATATTTATCCTGTTAGTTGAAACATTTAATAGTTTAGTTTGGTACTACTTTTTGTCTCCGGTACAAGCATGGTAGTTATTTTTCCAATATCACATAATTCTTCCGATATAAACCGATGATATCGCAAGCAAAATATCGATATACATCAGTATCAGAAGCACCGTATCGTCTATCTGCCAGTGTCAAGTCAAGGCCAAGTAGAACATAAAGAGTGAGGTTAAGTTAGTTGGTACCCTTACTTTTCCAGATTCCAGATGTTTAATTCTTTTCTTATTGGTTTTATGAGTAAACTGTTTAGGCCTACATTTTTTCTAATAATTCTTGATTCTGACTATTTGATATCGTCTTACGGTATACCTGGAAAAAGTATAATATCAGTCTGGAAAACCTGGAAAAGTCAGGGAATTTCATTTTCCAAAATCAGTACCAACCTTGATGAAGTTCCGTTGTCTGAGACGATTGTTCTAGGTATGCCATATTTACACAACAAATTCTTGAGCGCTTCTACTGTGTTTTCTGTTGTAATAGAGGACATAGGTACTATTTCTGACCATTTCGAGAAGGCGTCAACCACTAATGGAAACATTTGTCCGTAAAATGGTCCAGCAAAATCTAAATGGACTCGACTCCAAGGTTCACTTTCTTTAGGCCAGTTGACTAGATGTGTTTTACTTGGTAAATTTTTAGCAAACAAGTTACATTCACGGCAACGGTGACACGTCTGTTCAATTAGAGCATCCATACCTGGCCACCACACATGACCCCGAGCCTCAGACTTCATTCTGACCATGCCATTGTGAGATTCATGCAAGTAGTCTATGATGTAAGTTAATAACAGTTCTTATTCCCCACAGAAGACAGTTATTATGTAGAGTCAGTGCATATTTCTTAGAAAAGTAAGGCCTCAAGTTCTCATCTGGACACTTAGTAGGCCAACCTTTTACATAGTGCATCACCTTCTTCAAAGCAGGGTCCTTAACAGACTCCTCAGCGATTTCAGTACAAGTAATGGGGATCTCGGACTGCACTTCTGTTTGAATTGTCGCTACTATTGTATGGTGTCCCTCATCATTGGAATCAAAAGAATTAGGTTGAAATGACGGTAATCTACTCAAACCATCGACTTTGCCAAAATCTTTTGTAGATATGTATTCAATGTCATACGTATAGTTAGACAGTATCAGTGCCCAACGCTGAAGTCTATTGGCAGTTGTGGTAGGTACCCCTTTCTTAGATCCAAAAATTGTAAGCAAGGGACAGACCTGTAGGGCTGGTCTGTAAAATGAAATGTTTTCCCAGTAGATATGGGCGAAACTTCTTTATCACAAAAATGATGGCCAGCCCTTCTCTTTATATTTCAGAATAGTTCGCTTCAGTGGAAGTCAATGTTTTTGAAGCATATGCAATAAGCTTTTCAGAGTTGTCAGGAAATCTATGAAAAATTGCAGCACCGATTCCTACAGCTGATGCATCTGCAGCAAGAATGATAGGAAACTCTGGATTGTAATGTGTTAGTATAGGTGCATTCATTAACAAGGCTTTTAATTTGTTGAAACTGCGTTTACATTGGTCAGTCCACAACCAATTTACTCCTTTCTTCCGCAGTTGATTTAAAGGATAACAAACTTTAGAAAATTCTGGTATGAATTTGGAGTAGTATGTAATCATCCCTAAAAATGCCTCCAATTATTTGACATTTGATGGCTGTGGCATATCGACAATGCCTTGAACTTAAAAATCCTAAACTTGTAAGCCATTTTTAGTTATTATAAACCCAAGATATGTCACTGTTTCTTCCATAAACTTGAATTTATCTTTGTTCAATTGGAATCCAAACTCTTTTAATTTTGTTGAAAGTATTCTCTAGATTTTTGTAGTGTCAGGGGTGCCCAGAGGGGGGTACCGTGGCGCGTTTGCGCCACAGGAATCTTTGGGGGGGGGGCTTTTTTGAGGGGATTTAGGGGGGGATATTTTTTTCTAGCTGTCATAATGAATGTATAATTTTGTATAAGCAGCCTGAAAAACTGTTTCTAAGTAGCTCACTTATCAACACCACCAACATTTTTCCGTTTGTAACTTTTAAGATTGCTTTAAGAATGGTATAAACGCACCTTGTCAGACAATCTTTACATGCCAGTGTCGAATTTTACTTGCTACATATGTTTTGGTGGTTCTTTAACTCCGCCATCGTCAGGATTTACAAAAGATAAAGATCCCCTTCTGGAGGTGTCGTAAGAATACGTTACAAACATTTAACACAAAACACGAATCGATTACAGATATAGGCCTCACGCGTATACATTGCCGTCGGCAGGGCTGGAAGTAAACTGAATCAGGTTCAGTTCAGGTTATGACGGACCGTGGTCTCTGGATGTCGTCTGCGTTTTCAACAGCTGATATTGGACTATTGTAAGAGTGTTTGAAATGGGATTCATAATTAATTGAGTGTTTTCACTCAAAAATTGTGTGCTGTCCCCAGTTTTATGTATTTATAAATTTCAAACTCCTCAAAGTATTTAATAAATTTCCTTTCGTGCAGTACTGTAGAATTTCGAGACCATCATTTATATCCAGCATATAAATTGGTTATCATTGTCAATAATTTTGAATGGAAAACTCAATTATGAATCCCATTATATTTTCAACAATCTCCTCCGTCACTACAATTAGTCCAATATCATCTTTTGATAACACAGACGACAATCCAGAGACCGTCTTTCCGTCATAACCTGATTCAGTTTAATTCCAGTCCTGCCCGCGGCAATATACACGCGTGTATTGATAGGCCTATCTGTTATCGTTTCGTGTTTTGTGTACAAACGGATTGTCTGACAAGATGCGTT